TCTATTTTAAGGTTATTACATCCACAAGTTTTATGTTTGAAACGTAGTATTAAATATAATGAACTAGTATAACGTATAAAAATCAATCAAATATTATAATTAAACACGCCATTCACTCATGCAGTCACGAAAATTAAAAAAAAAAAAAATCAAATCAAATATTATAATTGAGTTTAGTTTCTAACTGTTTCAAGAATAAACTTTAATTTTGAACTATATTATCGATGTGATAGATTTATTTATTTATAGTTGTACAGTCTATTCTAGCATCATTAGAATACTATTATCGATGTTATCATTCAAATTTGTTTAATATCTTCGATTCATGACTCTCAATTTTTAAAGAGTATATTGTAACATTTAGAGATATATATAAATTTAGAGTGTTAAAATTTTGAAGTACTCCAACAAGCTTTTTATATCTAACACTTAATTTTACTACTCCTAAAAAATATTTATTACTTTTCATTAGATTATTTTATTATTTTCTTACGGTAAAAATTGAAAGACTTTAAATGTATTTAGTTACAGAGAGTGAGTTTGGTGTTAATTTAAAGAGTCTCTTCAAGTATGACTTTAAAAGTTGATTCTTTAAAATAGAGAACATTGCATGTTGAAAGAGTCTGTTGAAGATACTCTAAGTTCTCAAATTAATTTGCCTCGTTTTTTCTTTTTTAAAATTTTTTACTAAGCAAAAAATATTTTTTTTTTAATTATGTCAAAAGTTTGTATTGAGTTTCTTCGAAGTTCTTGGATTTTGTCAAAATAATAAATCAAGAATTCGTAAAAGTTTTGTACCATTTCTTAAATTTCCAAAATAGTTTTAAGTTTTAAAACTAATTCTTCTAAACTATTTATGTTATTAATTCCTTGATAAAATAATAAAATTTAATATATTAAAATTTATCTTCGTTAAATGAACTAAATAAACATAAAAAAGAGTCTCTTGAAATACTCTAAGTTCTCAAATTAATTTGCCTCATTTTTTTTTGTTATTATAATTTTTAGTTAAACAAAATATATTAATTTTTTTTTTTTCAAAAGTTTATATTGAGTTTCTTCAACGTTCTTGGATTTTATTAAAATAATAAATCAAGAATTCGTAAAAGTTTTGTACCAAATTCTTAAATTTCCAAAATAGTTTTATTATTTCAAAACTAGTTTCCAAAATTTCCAAAAAAAACAAAAAAAAATTCGATCATGGAACTCATCAAATCCATTCTTCTTAAACCTTTCCACAATAGTTTTATTAAATTTCCAAAATAGTTTTATTATTTCAAAACTAATTTTTCGAAGCTATTTTTTTATTAATTCCTTGATAAAATAATAAAATTTAATACATTAAAATTTATCTTCGTTAAATGAAGTAAATAAACGTAAAAAAGCACCTTCTTTTTTTGATCAACAGGAAGGACATTCCGGCCGAAGAATGAATCCTCACTGCCTGCACCTTCATTGAAGGGATCATTGAATTTTCCATCAGCTGTTCTGAAAGGATAATCGGCCGGATTATATCGTACTCCGACCGGTGATTTTCCGACGTTGAACAAGTTGTACTCTTGGTGAAGATGCCGACGCAGGGCCAGGTATATCAAACCTAAGAACACAGGTAACCTGTGCCATATACCTAACTTGTCGATGGAGTGAATAATCTGCATGCAAAAACAAAGAACTTGTATTATATCACAAGATAATCTTGCAATCTATGGGAAAATCTTGCAAACTATGGGAAAATCTTGAGTATTCTTGAATGTGATGAAACACAACGAACATGCAGAACATATATTAAAAAGATTATATTTCTGCAATTTTAGCTGGAGGTTAGGTCGAGCCATCTGTATTTTTTTGGTTACGAATAAAGCATACTACCTAAAGTATTGTCGCTTTTAATCGTGAAGCAGGCATAGACAAGCAAATTTTGCAAAGTCTTGAAATTTCGAAATCAAAAGATGAGAAAAATAAAGACCAAAACATCAACTCTTGTGGCTCTAAATACCATACAAATAGCAAAGATCTTGTTGCTCTTAATTTCGAGACGAGCAAATTTTACTTGCAATGTCTCGAAAGCTCAAAGTAGATATACGAGTAAAAACGACCACCAAAAATCCCAAGTCGTGATTTTAATTTTGAGACGAGCATCGACAAGCACCAAAATCATGTTTTAGTACTCTTTAGGCAAGCAAAAAACAAAGAAGTTGAACGAACTTACGAGAAAGATAAATCTATCGATAAGGGTCATTCTTGCTACAACTTCATGAAAATCTTTATGGATAAAATTGTGGAAAGGTTTAAGAAGAATGGATTTGATGAGTTCCATGATCGAAAAAATGTATGTTTACTAAATGAGGAGTTGGTGAATCCAAGCCCTTCACGCCCACGTATATATACACAAAGTTGCATTGAAAACTCTTTTCGTTTTGGTCAAAGAACTGTCACTGGACCAAAAGTGGGGAAAACAAGACCAAGCTGCTTAATACATGTTCAGAAAAGTACTTAAAATTGGTGAAAATATTCATGATGATTTATTACATCTCGAAAGATTTTATTAAAAATGTGAAAAACATGGACGAAGAAAAATTTGCTTTCTAGTTCGAGCATCAGTTACTGACTGAATTAATGCTTATTGTTTGAGGATAATTAGGAAGATTTAATGGTCTCTTTCTCAAGGATTTATCTAAAGAAATCTTTGATGCAGAAGGATCCGAGTCAGATGAGAACGAGCTCTGTAATAGTACGTTAATAGCTCTGAGATACTATATGTTGGCGGATCAGCACAAAATTGGCAAATAGTCATCGACATTTCCTAATTGAGATCGTTTTT